ACTGTGAACTGCAGGCTATGTTAGTCATCACGTGGGTATCGAAGTTCGTCATAGTTGTGAATATTTGAGACGGTAAATTTAATTAATATATGGCCATCGCCGATCTCGTAGAGGAACAATTAAGTTCCCCTTTACCCTGGAGCTCACAATTAGAGCTCGCGCAGGCTTTCACATAGCGACTATGAGGATTTCACGGAAGAACGGTTCACCCTAATGATTTTTCGCTTGGGCAAACCAAAAATGACCATTCCGGTCTCCCTTTGCGTTGTCGGCTGCCTTCCATTTTTCCATCCTTTCCTATCTTGACGGTAAATATACGCAATCTCTCAAAATATGAATATTTCAGATAGCAAAACTTCTTCCATAGTCAGCATTAGAGGAGAAAATTTCCTGCATTCTTTCTGCAAGTTAGGACTGAATCTACGTATGCATTGGAATAAATTTGAAAAACACGTGGAACATGATAAATACGTTTTGCGCGTTTATTTTACTGAAATATGCCAGCATGCTCTCGTCTTAGTATGACCTTCGAACTATATTCCCCGTTGCTTCGTTTTCAAATATTTCCAGGATAACCGCCTAGCATTTGAAAGTTGTTCGGAGCCTCCTAATCAAGGTCTAATTGGATTTTGCGCATAAAGCCCCCAGAAAAGGCAGCTAATTGCCTTATCTGTCGGCATCTCGTCAGCCCGCAGATGTTATTGTGTCACTACTTTGCTGCCCTTAAATTAATGTTGCAACGCCTCTGGCATTTCACTTATAGGAAAAGCAGAACCAATCAGCGGCAAAATGCTTAGTGGATATCTCAGTTGTCCTGAACTTCCCCATTGTGACACAGGGGGTTTGCTAGTGGGCGATACTGTACCTTTTTCAGTGACGCCAAACGATACGCGAACTCCCTCCTTCTGAGAAAACTGTAGCGGAGAATACAAGACCTATCTCTCAACCGTATAAGCAAGGCACATTATTCTTATCATACTGAATTATGCGAAACTAAAGGCTGAGTATTCGACATCAATATAAAGATGAATTTTTTAGTTCCTGATTGCATGCTGTCTGCTCTCTTTACTGAACTATCGAGGCTGGGTCACCAAGGGTGCTTATTACTCAATTATCCAGCATTTTTAATTCGATATTCGAGTCTGCTGAGACACCATGGACTGGAAAAATCGTTAGTAATATTCAGATACATCTAACTAGTTGACATAAAGGGGGTTAAGGAAAGCTAACGACCGCTGACCTATCAGTAGAGTTGGGGAAGCGTCGAAGAACAATTCCTCCTAAGGATTTTCAATTGGGCTGAAGAATAGAAACCTCGCCTTGCGCTCGATTTCAAGGAGATTTATGGTTAAACTTGAAATGGCTGTTAGGGTCAGAGTCCAAACAAGTGTATAGGGCCCTTGGAATTTAGAACAAAGCCCACATATCCATATCCAACACAAGTGTCTAAATTGAACCATTCAGTACCATTAGGCAAGCTTATTTTACGGTCCATTCACCGGCGACTGTTTTGGATGTCGACAGTTGCAGCTTTCGGTCACTATTTATCGTTTGCGATCTTCAACCATTGGCAAAAGTAGCTTATGTAGCCCCACCTATATACCCCTAGTCCCAGCATTTTGTCCTGCAGAAACGGTGGTTATAGAGTTTTGTGGGGTGGGGAAAAAGGATAGGCAGAGAAAGAAATTTTTAGAAGTGTTAAGTGACAAAATTTAGTCGATGTTGCTTCCCGCGGCCACTGGGAGCAGGTTTTTCCGCATGTAAATTGAAGGCGTGCGCGGCGCTTCGCGTCGCGAACTATACTAATCTAACTTCAGGACGGTCAGTTGGACCACAGGTAAGTTGAAGTAGACGACCTCCTAACCACCATTTCAATTCTTCGGGAGATTCAAGAAACCTGCAGTTTGATAATCGGGTTTTCTGAAATTAGTTAAATGATAATACAGATTAGGAAAATCTTGTAAGTTCAGTAAAATAAAAATGCATTTAGCATTTATTAAAGTATACTCAACTGCGTATCCTAATTTCCCGCCCATAAAACCCGATAAACACCGTTTTCGTAGGAAAACAGGCAGGTTGTAGGGGTTAATGAGTGGGGCTACATAAGCTACTGTTGCCAAGCATCATTTGTTTTACGCACCTATTTCATACACGGTGAGTGGAGAACGTCTGGCCAGATTATTGCCCAGGAGAAGACCAAATGCCGTGAGTTCATGGGCGAAGACAGCACAAAACTGCTTTAGCAGAGAGTACTTGAACGAGCCCGCAACAAACAAGCAATTCATGAAATTACGTAAACTGCAGAATCCAACGTCATCTAGAAACGACAAAATGGTACACAAATTGTCGTCGAAATAACTGACGACATCCATTCAACATGGCCTCATTCAACACGGCTGATGCTAAACCTGCCAACATTATTGCAGCTGTGAAATCGGTCATCAATCAGACAAATGCACCGGAAGAGACAAAGAACCTTATCCGAAACCAGATATCATCCCTCCTGATGGCTCATCAACCGCGGAAAGTGCTCCCCGAGATCGAACGCATTGCATTAAGAGCACTCAAGGCCGACCGGGACATCGTCACCGTGCCAGCCGACAAGGGACGTTCTACGGTCATATTTGACAGAAGCGACACCTTCAGAAGGCGAAAAACTTACTGGAGGATCGCCAGTTTTATGTTTGTTGTGAAATCAAACCCACCAAAGGCTGACACGCGAAATCAAGTCGACCCTGTTGGCACTAGAGAACTCGGGTGCAACAACGCCGTCTGACCGACGCATGACGAGAGCACAAAAAGCGGCCTTGACCCGCTTCTATGGCCTCTCCAAAGTGCATAAGGAGGGCGCTCCTCTCCGACCCATCGTATCACTGAAGGGCACTCCAAAGTACGGACTGGCAAAGTGGCTATTTCGGCGGCTCTAACTTCTAACTGCTGATTCGGGGACCAAGGTCCGCTCATCAACACAATTCTTTGAAAAAATTAGAGAAGTAAGTCTCCTGCCAAGTTATGTCAGGTTTTCTTTCGAGGTCACGTCCCTTTTTACTTATATTCCTCAGGATCTAGCAGTCAAAACCGTCGACCAAATCTTACAGCTCTTGAAATTCTGTCACAGGACTTACTTCAGGTTTGACGGAACAATCTACGAGCAGGTGAAGGGTACACTAATGGGTTCACCGATTTCGGGGTTCTTAGACGAGGTGGTCCTACAACGGCTGGCGTCGCTGGTCTTCCAAAAACACAGACCGAAATTCTGGGTGTGGCATGTGGATGAAACTTTCGTCGTCATCGAAGGGGTCAGGTGCTCACATTTAAGGAACGTCTCAACAGCATCTTCCCGGACATCCAGTGGAGGAGGAAAAGAACAACTAGCTGGCCTTCCTTGATGTCCTCGTCTGTCGCAAAGATTGTGGTGGCCAAAAGACTAAAGAATTGAGGAAAGTGACGAACACGATGCAAGTACTTAATTTCAACAGCAACCACCAAATTAGCCACAAACACAGTTGCGTTAGGACGCTCTATCGGCGTGTTGAGACGTACTGCAGCGAACCAGAAGATAAAGTTGCCGAGGTACAATACCTTCGACCGGTGTTCAGAGAAAATGGCTACCCACACAACTTCATCAGCCAGTGCTTGCGCAAACGAGATGGCCAACAAATTCGCAAGAACCCCAAGATTTGGCGAGCGATCCCGTACGTCATAAACGTCTCGGAGGCTGTCGGCCGCCTTCTCGCACCACTTAGAGTTGGAGTCGCATACGGGCCGGAGACAACCATAAGGTGTCAGATAATGAAACTGAAAAACCCACTGCCACGGCAAGAAACATCTGGAGTCGTCTACAGGATCTTGTTCAGTTGCGGGCAAAGCAACTATGTCGGAGAAACTGGCAGACTTCTCAAGAAGCGAATTGCCGAACACGCGGCAGCAGTGCGGCGAAGTGATGCCAATTCTCAAGTTGCGGCTCATTCTACGAGATCCGGCCACATATTCAAATTTGATGAATATATACATCATATACACATATACAGACGGCCCAGATCTGCAGAAATTGGCGGCATCTAACGTCCAACTTTTACCTCACCACTATTTGCACCCGAGTTTCACGATGTAATGCCGTCTGGGTCTGTCAGCATTTTTCTGGCTGGTCATGTCACAGCAATTTATTCTGTATCGCTTGTTTCTTAAAAACGTCATCCGATCGAAACATCGAGCTCGTGTGAATTGGTGGCAGCAGAGCTGTGCGACAGTTAAAACTTCTGTAAAAAGATTACTGGCTTTCTAGCTGGAAGATCTGACCGATCGGGAGGATATTTACAACAAAGACGAAACTTCCAAAACGAAGCTCCAAGACTACAGAGAAAGCTACCGGCATTTATGTTTGACTTTTGTCTACTACTCTTTTAAAACGCAAACAACCAACTTAACTTTTACTGCACTGTTTTGGAATTGAAAAGTTCTTAATTAAAATTGCAAAACATCCTTTGGCGGGTATACGTTTGCGTTCGATGACAGCAGGCAAGGAGCGGCTTTTCATCAGGGTCGCGTTTCACGGGGACGCGCCGAGTGAACTTTTAAGAAGGCGTCTAAGTCAAGTTGTAACAAGCACCGTTCCAGCAGCTGACGCTGTTTTCGACTACATCCGCCTATACGAAGAGGGCAAGGACAAACTGCCGACCCTGATCACCTCTGTGTACATTTATTTCTTTGCCTGTTCCTATGGGTCAGAAAGTATATTGGCCGCAGGAGCCGGCGGTTATCCAAAATAATGAGGGAAAACCTCCCAAAATGTTTAGGAAAGGACCTAATAAAGAACGCATACAGCTCTATTCTAGCACATATGGTAGACACAGACTACCGAGGGACCTTCAGGTCGACTTACGAGGTCCTGTATATCTATCTAACATCATCTAGATAGCGTTTGTTGGCTGCGGCAGAGGCGGCTGCAATCAGGTTACGCAAACAGGTTCAGTGCGCACAGAACTTCAGAGAATCGCCGCAGTTACTGTGGCCCAAAGACACCGAGTCCGTCGGCCGCATCTATTTACATTAGCCGGTGGTCAACATTCCCCTGACTCTGATCAAAAAACTGACTGCAATGGACTTTTTCTCCCTCCGCCAACCGCATGATTTTTTTACTTGTCCAAATACTTAACGTGTTGCCATAGCAGTACGGGCCTGATGAGGAATTATGGAAAGTACACGTATACTCTCCAAATTGTCTTTTGAATTTACTTAAGTGTGGACACTCGGGCCTCATTTTTGAAAAAATGCACACAAAGGAAGCGTGTGCTCACCTTCTGGTTCAGCTGATCAAGGAAGCTTTGGGTCATTGCGGGCTGACTGGCGACTTTAGTTAAATCCTCTACGTAGAGTTTGGTTACTTCAATCTCCTTTGGCTGTTTATCCGTGGCAAGGTATTGATTCACTTTCACTTCTTCCTGCAGACGATTGATAAGTGCTGCGGAAGAAAATAGGGATAAAGATAATAATGATAACTGGCTACCATAGAAAAGCACCACTTCAGTCACTCAGAGGCTGTCACCAGAAATGTCAGCTCCAAAAAAGTAAGTTAGAGTTCGCAGAAACTGCGAGCTGCTTTGCGTAAATTAAGGTTTCAGGTACCATTTTCCTTATGGTCTGACCAGACTGTACGTACTGCTTTCGAAAATGAGCTTTTGAAAAATACTGGCCGATTATTCGACTTGCATTTAAAATTGAAATTTATTGTTATTTTTGCAGGCTTAAATGCAAACCTTCACATTGCCATGACGGCCCTACCTTGTGGACGAAAGTTTTTTTTTCTCCTTAAATTCCACAAATTCCATCCACACTTTTCTGGTTTCTGAAAAACGTACAGAGATTTTTTCAGTATCTACTCTTTTTTGTGCTTCTGTTCCGCCTCGCTGGCTTTTGTCATTTGGCGTCGCCAACAAGCTGATGTACTATTCCCACAGTAAAAATTGCATGACTTTGCCCCTTCACACTAAGCTTTTGTGTGACTATTTCATTTCATTTGTCTGGCCAAATTTGTTCAGCTCTTTTGTATTCATGGATGCATTTTTAAAAACGTTTATGTCCCAAAGTGCACGTAAGCAAATAGGGAGTTCAAAGGTACATGTATACATTTCCCTCACATAAACTAAAACTGAAATGTTTTGCAAACAGCCGCCAATATCAACAAAACAGGTGGGCAGGGTCCGCAAGTGATTGTACAGAATAAAGACGATCTCATAAATTCCGTAATGGTAACGAGAGCCTTAAAGCTGAGGAAGATGGAGGATGAACAATGAAGTTTTGAAAACAACCCTTAAAGAACACCCACGTCAAAGTGTCAAAGAAACCTCTGAGACGCGTTGTTTCAGTACTTCAACGGTGTCCGACCATACCGCACCATTTTAATATATAAAGTGCTTGATAAATAAGTCTTTACATGAGTCCAATGAAAATTAAAGACTTCAGCATTTTGCAATCTGTCTGCTACTCACTCCACGTGGATCCTTTATAATAAGCGTTGCAAGCAGGGCAATGGCTGGGTCGTGACGAACTACTCAAACATTTCCCAGAATCCATTTGCGTCAGCAGAATATTATGGTGGCCCTCTGGTGGTCTGCTTTTGGAGTTATCCGTCACAGTTTTTCGGGGCCAATAAAAGCACCCCAGTAGAGGTTTGCGGCAAGTAACACAAAGAAATGCATGTTCATACGGGAAGAAAGAGACCGGCTCCGGTGAAATGACGAAGTCCAATTCTGCTCCACAAAAACGTACGGCCACCTTTTGCCAGAATAACATTGCAAAAATCCTATTTCTTTGGATACGAAACTTTACCATATCCTCCAATCCTTCACCCGCTGACTGCCATTTTTCCATGCACCTGGACACATTTAACGCAACAAAAATGTCCACAACAAAACTGAGTTGGAAACTCGATTCACAGATTCCTTAGCACCAAAGCTAATGGACGTTTTTCGACTAGCTTGTTCAGCGATGGTAGAGGGGCATACATGTCCAAGGACCATACACTTACTGAGTTCAACATGCTTAGTGTGACATTTTTGAAGAGTTATTGGTTCTTTTTCTGGAATCGGTCAGTATTTTCCGAACAACCTAACAGCATCGAGGATACTTTTGATAGCTGGAAAACGAAGAAGGTCGTTCCGTGTTCAATTTTGTTTCCGCTGTCCAGCCGACTGATCTATTTATGGATCATCAATCTCACTTAGGTAATAAGATGCACGCAAATACTCCGAAGGCTCATCGATGTAGCCCTAGATTTGGCTAATATCTTACGATTGATCTATTGAGCTCGAATGCAGGTGCGTCCTGCCCCATGTGGGTTGTAGCTGTTCAATAAGAAAAAAACGGGAGCCTTTCCATGCCCGCATGAGCGTAATGATTGGCCTTTTGTGTGTGCTCCTTCATCTCAGAGCACGTGCCACCCTTCGGGTTATCACAGGCTACGTGCAAGTCAATGCAAACGTTTAGGGTCGAAAAAGAGGCAATCGTGAATACAGTAGGTCTGGGAATTCCTGCAAGATCATGACGAAATTTGACTTGGTAGTTTAGCATATATTTGGTCATGTTAATTTGATCCACTGAGGGGACCAAATCCAGAGGAAGCCTTTTTAGTATGGAAAATGGCTTTTAAGTTCAGTTTTTTGAGAGTACTAGGCATTTATTTTGACTAAATCGGGAATAGCCTGATATCCAAGAACTTTCCTATGTTATTATTTATGACAGAACCAAACTTTTTTATTAATATGCATTATGCTATGAGAGAACCCCTAAATAAATAATAAAGGCTTAAAACATATCTATTTCAGAACCGCAAATTTAGTCCGGAGTTGCTCAAATGCAAGTGAAGCCTATTTTAAAGAATCACATTTATTTTCAGAAACCGGGGACAATTTCAGTTGGAAAAATTATT